CTTATAGATTTTCCTAACCCAAAGAGGAGTTATGAAAACTGCAAAGTCATAAAATTCAATGTTTCAGTGGAAAATGTGTAATATTAATTGTGTGTATGTAGTAGGTCGGTCCGCAGTGGCCGCGTGGTCTGAGGCGTAGGCCTTGTGCCGTTTGGTCGCTGGGACCGGGGGTTCGAATCCCACTCAAGCCATGGATGTTTGTCCGCGTTTTTCTGTGTTGTGCTGTCCTGTGTGCAGGTAGAGGCCTTGCGACGGGCCGACCCCTCGTCCAAGGAGTCCTACCGAAATTTCTATAGATCAAGCCAACGAAAAGTTTGGACCCGTAGTGCTCAGGCACTTACGGGTCGTTCCCAGTATCCCAGTATGTAGTAGGTAACTGAATTATTCCTCATATTCACTTTCTTAGACATCCATTCTAAGAAGTTCATCAATTGTTAAATATACCGAGAAATAAACGACGTTAACGTTTCAAGAAAATACAGATTTAAAGAAACATAGTATACTGGAAGGGCACTAAATAGTTATGAAGATTACATTCTGCAAATATTCAGTAGTAATTTAGTAAACAGAATCTCTGTAATTAGTTTACATTACAGCTTCTAGGTTACAGTACTATTGCTACGCTACGGAAATAACAACTGTGTGTGCTAGACACATTCTTACTCACCTGTTTTAACATCACGATTCAATACTATTTCATGTTGAACTCCTTAATTTAACAAACTGCTACGCGAACTATATGATAATACACAAAACCAAAACAAGAAAGCCATCCCTGCACACTGTGGCCGACATAGTTGCGCAACCTCACGAAAACCTTCCAGCAAGAAAACATATGACTGTGGTTACTGCGCTGTAGGATCTCTACACACGAAATACCAACATATGAAACGAAGAAAGTACCATGCAAAAGCCCAGAATTACTTCAGTGCACAGACAAGTGACTATTCATTGTGGTAGGTATACTTTTCCTGCACGTAATAACTACTTCGTTAAAAGACGTTAACAGTTGTCCCTAAAGAGCAGAATGCTTGAAATGGGGGTAAAAGTGACTACAATGACTCCATTTGCCCCGGTAGCTAACGTTGTCACTGTCGTTTAAAACATATGGATGGTGTTACGAGGGCCCAGAATTGCTCAGAAACAGAACAATTGACTGTGGTTACAGTATTACATTGTTCCTATACGCGGTAATATGAACCAATGAAATGCATGAATAGTAGATTTTGAAGATCAGAATTACTTAAAACTGGGGAACAAGCAGTGGCGGCTCGTGAGTCTGAGCAGTGGCAGTGCTGCGCAAGGGGGAAAACTCAGAATAGTTTTTCAACACATAACAATATAAATAAATTAAAAGTATATTTATATCAGGAGAAAACCCATAAGTGCTCGACGATGTTTTAACTCTTTGTAAGTCCGGAAGAGTGCGGCCATGATTTTTTACAACTATTTTTTCATTCAAAAACAATTTAGAAAAAACTAATTTGCTGTAACTATGATACCTCACCATTCTGCTGGGAATGTTTATGGAAAGCAGTCACTTTGGAGACTGAGAAGGAGATGGAACAATATTATTACATTTGATCTCAGAGAAATTGTTAAAAACGTGTGAAGACAAATTAAAGTGACTCAGAATTGTCTTCATTTGAGGACTTCATGTTACCAGTGTCGAAACATTTGTTTCTGTTACCAGATAGTTAATTGTCCAGTTAGTCTTATTTGGTTAATTAGTTATCTAACATTAGTTAAACAGTTGATTAGATACTAGGTAAGCCAATTGAACTATTGTAGCTGCATTGTTCACTACCCTTAAGTAGATATTTAAATCTGTTGCTGCAATTGTCAGTCTGTGACGAAATGTTATTGTTTCATAGTTTTCCTTAAGCAATTTTAATTTGTACAGTGTCATATTCTATTAGACAATTTCTAACAGCTTATAAGTAATCCCGCTTCAATATGTTCGCTTTTAGACAAAGCAGTCGTACGCATTGGTTCCGAAAACTGTGAAATGAAAATATCCGAACCTTGAAACATTTTGCACATAAAGACTATAAATTCTTCAATCACCTTGCCAATTTCTAAAGGGCTTTACGGTTAGAATTGAAGCGTGAGAAACAAAATTAATTGATTTATCATACGGTAAGTGCAATATTCCCAATCGGACAGGAACATGCTATGATTAGATCGTGGAAGCTAAATTCTATAATGTACAGTCTATTTCGCTGTCTGACGAGATATTCTCAGATTACACTTACATGGTTACTATACCAATTTACCTGTAACATCTCTAACACTCGAATAGATTCAACCTAAATTCGTTACAAAACTGATTCACCAGTTACGTTTACGGGATGTCATAAATTATTCTCGCACCTGCTATTCAAAAATGAAATTGTGAATACTAAATTTCCTCTCCGTAACCCAAAAATACATAAACAACTAATGTGTGTTCATTTCCTCTCCGTAACACAAAAATACATAAACAACTAATGTGTGTGTGTTTGCCTGCGTCAGTGCGTGCGTGAGTTAGGTACTTTTCCGGTATTTCCGTGGAAGGGCTGAGGAAAATCATAGAAAACTCAGTCAGGATATTGTCTACTTAG